TTCAGAGTTCCCGACATATTCCGTGTGTGGTATAGCCTTCTAATGTGTCCACAATATGTTAATTAGCTTTGGTCAGTTCGCCTAAAGTTAAGAGCCTTTCGGGTGTAACCAGATTAGATTAGACCAGATTATTGAAGCATAAGTTAAAGTAAAGCCAATGTGCCAAGGCTCCATTTCATGCCTATGGTTCTTCCACATAGAGCTCTCCACCGATGTTGATACTATCCTCTTTGTGGTGTCTCCATTTTCAATTTCCGATCAAGTATTACACCTAACTACTTAACTCTCGGTCACCGGTATATTCTTGCCAAGGAAACAGGGTTCAATAATAAATTTATTGAACCCTTTATTTTTTCAAATTAAACATTTTTCTAATTTGGACCCAGAAACGACTTTACTTCTAAAGTTTCTGTTGATGATTAGAATTTGTCTGTTTATTGAAATAATACGATTAATATATGGCAAAAATTATAACAAATTGAAATAAACATATTTTTGGAATCATGCTAATGTACATATAATGCATATATACAATGTACAAACACCTTGAGTATATAATTTCATACATATTTTTGAAAATTTTTCTAAAAACACAAAACAAAATTTTTTAATATGTGAAATTCCTACAGGGTGTTAAAAATATTCAATTGCTGCCTGCTGTTGTTTGCTATGTTTCGTTGGACTCGAGAGTATATTGACTTAAATAATTCATATAAGAAATGCATATATTTCTGGTGTAGATTTTATTTAATTTTTCTTTCTTGGTATATAAGTACAAGTATATGTTCCGATCACAGGCCGTTTTTAATGGATAACTTATCTACATTTCGCTTCCAAATTTAGAATTTGTTTGTTTCATTGAATACTAAGAATTGTGTTTAAAATGAACAAACATAATATTCTATTTTTAATAAAACAATTTTTGTTTAAAATATGGGTCATCTAAATATAAATTATGTCATAAGTTTAATGTTTAGAATATTGTAGTTTACCTTTAGCGATTTATAATGTTGTAAACAATCACTTTTATAGATTATTGGAATATAATGAGACAGATAGGAAATTTCTTAATTTATTCAATTATAGTAAATGTCTTAAATAATGTATAATAGATAGTTTAATGGATAATTAGTATTTACAAATACATATGTATGTACACTTAACAATGTTATCAAAATAATACCTTAAATACCACTAGAGACTATTGGACTTCGAAATACCGTAGTTAAATTAATTAATGAGCTTTACAAACGACTATTTGCATAACATTTTATTTTAGTGTAAGGATTCAGTTTAATTCGCGTACAAAAATTAAGGGTACTTGTGTACAAACATCTGTGATACACAATCATTATATATACATATGTATGTTCATATGCGCTACATAAATACGTGATATCATATCTCACTTGTTCAGATTAGTTTGTATATTAAGGTGGTTTTTATTATTACTTTATATTTGTCATATCATTTCAGATTTTTGATATATTAAATTTTGTTTAAATGTTCTCAATTATTATCCCGGTCCTTCAGATATGGCTCTTCATAATATTCAGATTGTTTTTGATAAATAAAGTAAATTTTCAGATTTTAGATAATTTCCCAAAAACATTAAACATTTGTATATACAAATTAAAATCTCTGATGTTATGACATAGATGTCTTGTGGTTGCTACATTTTGGTCGTCCATCAATAGTCGCCAAATATCATATCTATTTACTTTGATAACGTCTTTCACATGCCCCTAGTGGCACTACTATCCATTCCATCGAATACAACCTAACAATTCCTAAAAAATGAGGTCAAATCAGGTCTTACACAATGTTCCCTAAGTTAGTTAGTTAGTTAGTTAGTTAGTAGTTAGTAGTTAGTTAGTTAGTAGTAGTTAGTTAGTTAGTTAGTAGTTAGTTAGTTAGTTCGTTAGTTAGTTAGTAGTTAGTTAGTAGTTAGTTAGTTAGTTAGTTAGTTAGTTAGTTAGTTAGTTAGTTAGTTAGTTAGTTAGTTAGTTAGTTAGTTAGTTAGTAGTTATTAGTTAAGTTAGTTAGTTAGTTAGTTAGTTAGTTAGTTAGTTAGTAGTTAGTAGTAGTTAGTTAGTTAGTTAGTTAGTTAGTTAGTAGTTAGTGTTAGTTAGTTAGTTAGTTATTAGTTAGTTAGTTTAGTTAGTAGTTAGTTAGTTAGTTAGTTAGTTAGTTAGTTAGTTAGTTAGTAGTTAGTTAGTTAGTTAGTAGTTATAGTTAGTAGTTAGTTAGTTAGTTAGTTAGTTAGTTAGTTAGTTAGTTAGTTAGTTAGTTAGTTAGTTAGTTAGTTAGTTTCAGTTTAGTTAGTTAGTTAGTTAGTTAGTTCGTTTCGTTCGTTCGTTCGTTCGTTCGTTTTCGTTTCGTTTTTCGTTCGTTCGTTTTTTTCGTTCGTTCGTTCGTTCGTTCGTTTCGTTCGTTCGTTCGTTCGTTCGTTTCGTTCGTTCGTTCTTCGTTCGTTCGTTCGTTTCGTTCGTTCGTTCGTTCGTTCGTTCGTTCGTTCGTTCGTTTCGTTCGTTCGTTCGTTCGTTCGTTCGTTCGTTCGTTCGTTTTCGTTCGTTCGTTCGTTCGTTCGTTCGTTCTTCGTTCGTTCGTTCGTTCGTTCGTTCGTTCGTTCGTTCGTTCGTTTCGTTCGTTCGTTCGTTCGTTCGTTCGTTCGTTCGTTCGTTCGTTCGTTCGTTCGTTCGTTCGTTCGTTCGTTCGTTCGTTCGTTCGTTCGTTCTTCGTTCGTTCGTTCGTTCGTTCGTCTTCGTTCGTTCGTTCGTTCGTTCGTTCGTTCGTTCGTTCGTTCTTCGTTCGTTCGTTCGTTCGTTCGTTCGTTCGTTCGTTCGTTCGTTCGTTCGTTCGTTCGTTCGTTCGTTCGTTCGTTTCGTTCGTTCGTTCGTTCGTTCGTTCGTTCGTTCGTTCGTTCGTTTCGTTCGTTCGTTCGTTCGTTCGTTCTTCGTTCGTTCGTTCGTTCGTTCGTTCGTTTCGTTCGTTCGTTCGTTCGTTCGTTCGTTCGTTCTTCGTTCGTTCGTTCGTTCTTTCGTTTTCGTTCGTTCTTCGTTCGTTCGTTCGTTCGTTCGTTCGTTCGTTCGTTCGTTCGTTCGTTCGTTCGTTCGTTCGTTCGTTCGTTCGTTCGTTCGTTCGTTCGTTTCGTTTCGTTCGTTCGTTCGTTCGTTCGTTCGTTCGTTCGTTCGTTCGTTTTTCGTTCGTTCGTTCTTCGTTCGTTCGTTCGTTCGTTTTCGTTCGTTCGTTCGTTTCGTTCGTTCGTTCGTTCGTTCGTTCGTTTCGTTCTCTCGTTCGTTCGTTTCGTTCGTTTCGTTCGCCGGCGCTTGTCCTCCTCCATCCAATACGAAGAAATGTACCTACCTAGCCCTCTATCGGGTCTGTTGTGCTCACCTTTACCGGTGCCTCATGTGGGAATTACACCCACAACGTCCTGTTTACCAATCTAGAACACTAACCTACTTTAAGGTAACATGTCCAATATAAATTTTGGTAGAGGGATTTATTTCTAAATAAAGAATTTCAACGTGATATTAGTGTTTATAAGTGAATTTTGATTATCTAGTCATTTTCTGAAGGGGACTTTGTGTGGGAACTAATGAGACCCGATCATTACGAAAATCAGCAGTATCATTTAGACTTATATAAAACCGAGTTTTGCTGATTTTTAGAGAGATACAAGAACATTTTATATACTTATGAGCTCAAAGGCCCAATTCGGGGGTACGGTTGTATGAGGGCTAGTCGAAATAATGACCCAATTTTAACTATTTTCAATAGGCTTCGTCCTTGAGTATGTGTCAAATTTCATCAAATTATCTTTAAAATTGCGTAAAATAGTTGGACGGACAGACGGACATAGCTAAATCGACTCAGAAAGTGATTTTGAGTCGATTGATATACTTTAAGGTCCAGTAAGGACCAGTATTTTCGGGTATTACAAACATCAGCACAAACGCTTAATACCCTCCCTACTGTGGTGGTGTAGGGTATAAAAATATCTAATATTGTTTATATACTTATGTAGATGAGTTAAATATTTTTTGTTTACAATCTGTTTTTTATGGGAACAGATAAAAAAATATTTATATATTTACGGATGATTACATGCGAAACGTAAAGTAATAAATATTAGTTAACACAATAAGTTTATGGAGATATTATCTGTGAAATCAATTAAGGAATTTATACTTATAATAAATAGATCGGACATGGTCGATTTAAAAACATCGATGTAATGAAACTAGACCTTCAACTCTCATTTAAGTAATAATAAGATTTTCTGAATATGCACATATTTACATATTAGAGACAAACTTCAAAAAAATACTTTCATTTCAGCAAATATATTTAAAGAAAATATTGAGTTCAGCTTTCGTGATATTTTGACACAGTTATTAATTAATCTAGTTTTAGATACAAATTAGATTCACAATCCGTTACAAATGAAATAAAGTAGTTAATATATGTTTCAAATTGTATTTAAAGGAACTGAGACAAAAGATAATACAAATACATATTATTTTTATCAATGATACGGTTTATAAAAAAAAAATACCGTAGCATGTAAATTTTCCCATTTATCTATTCCATGTTCAAGTATCTTCTTCGGTATGTGTACAAAAAAAGTTCAACACATTTCCCAATTATATGTACTTAGTTATCCACGAGTGCTTGAATAATCATGTAAATCATGTGTGGCATGGACATCGATTATTGTATATTCCTGAAATCGAATAAATTTTCGATTTACCTAGTACAACATTCAGTTACAGTTGAACTGATAAATTCCTTTACGAGCATAAATCAATAAAAATAAAACACTGGAGAAAAACATTTGTTATCAAATATTATCTATTATTGATATTCTACGTGGGAATTTCAACACGATGTGTTGCGAATCTATTTTAATGCAAATTGATTAGAATCAAACTAACATTCAGTTCCTAAACTCAATTCTATAGCTAAGGTTCGAATTAGCAGCAGCATTTATTTCAATGGGCTATTGGTCGGAATTAAAAGCCTGGCTGTTAAAGGACCCGGCAAAACTTATTCGTTATTTAGTTTTATTCATCTGTTGTGTTATTGTCATTGTGCAGGTATTTTTTTTTAAACGTTTATATTTTAAAATTATTTTTTTAAAACTTCTCACGTTTCTCTTCTAGTTATATGAATGTTTTTCAAAATTGGATAATCCGCCAATATCCACACATTCTTATTACAATTTAAATGAAACCATTGAAATGCCAGCCATAACAGTATGTCGAGATCCCCCCTATAAAACGAAAGAACTAAAAGTAAGTAAAATAATGTCGGTTATATACTTATATAGTAACTTCCAAATTTTGAATTTTACGCTTAAGCCCGTTCCTAAAGGGATTTTTAGGTTTTAGAAAAAATTATTTTAAATATTGATTTTGATTCATATTAGACAAAGTGTATCTTCCTAATCTTCGAAGAGACAAGTTTCCTGGTATGCTCTAATTGCCCTGTACCATCTCTATTTATAAGCCAAGGAATACTGTAACCATCAGTTCTAGTTCAGTTCAAGTTCAGTTCCAAGTTCAGTTCCAGTTAGTTTTTAGTTCAGTTCTAGTTGAGTTCTAGTTCAGTTCTAGTTCAGCTCTAGTTCAGTTCTAGTTCAGTTCTTAATTCAGTTCTAGTTCAGTTCTAGTTCAGTTCTAGTTCAGTTCTAGTTCAGTTCTAGTTCAGTTCTAGGTCAGTTCTAGTTCAGTTCTAGTTCAGTCTAGTTCAGTTCTAGTTCAGTTCTAGTTCAGTTCTAGTTCAGTTCTAGTTCAGTTCTAGTTCAGTTCTAGTTCAGTTCTAGTTCAGTTCTAGTTCAGTTCTAGTTCAGTTCTAGTTCAGTTCTAGTTCAGTTCTAGTTCAGTTCTAGTTCAGTTCTAGTTCAGTTCTAGTTCAGTTCTAGTTCAGTTCTAGTTCAGTTCTAGTTCAGTTCTAGTTCAGTTCTAGTTCAGTTCTAGTTCAGTTCTAGTTCAGTTCTAGTTCAGTTCTAGTTCAGTTCTAGTTCAGTTCTAGTTCAGTTCTAGTTCAGTTCTAGTTCAGTTCTAGTTCAGTTCCAGTTTAGTTCTAGTTCAGTTCTATTTTAGTTCCAGTTTAGTTCTATTTTAGTTCCAGTTTAGTTCTAGTTCAGTTCTAGTTCAGTTCTAGTTCAGTACTAGTTCAGTTCTAGTTCAGTTCTAGTTCAGTTCTAGTTCAGTTCTAGTTCAGTTCTAGTTCAGTTCTAATTCAGTTCTAATTCAGTTCTAGTTCAGTTCTAGTTCAGTTCTAGTTCAGTTCTAGTTCAGTTCTAGTTCAGTTCTAGTTAAGTTCTAGTTCAGTTCTAGTTCAGTTCTAGTTCAGTTCTAGTTCAGTTCTAGTTCAGTTCTAGTTCAGTTCTAGTTCAGTTCTAGTTCAGTTCTAGTTCAATTCTAGTTCAGTTCTAGTTGAATTCTAGTTCAGTTCTCGTTCAGTTCTAATTTAGTTCTAGTTCAGATAAGATAAAATATGTGTTCTACGCATACTACGACTCAAACATTCCCGAGTAGTCATTTGACTCCTACAGTATTAGTTCCGGTCTGGAATTGCATTGATACCGTAATGATATTGAGATATTCTTTTAGAATAGTCAAATAAACATTGTGGTACATAAGGCAATCAATAATTATTAGACCCGTAGATCCATACCATCACAAATGTATATATTATAACTTTGCTTAGACCGAATGTCTGAACCAAAAATGTTTTCTTCACTGAATAGTTAAGATTTTAAACGATAATCTCTTCTTTCTATTAATGTTCAAGTCCACTGATATTATTGGCGTTCTGTTCATTTCATCGTACCATAGAACCTACCAATTGCCGATAAGGTCCGAACAATATCTAAAATTATTTTATCGTATTTTAACAAAATTTCAGAAAATATCCGGTAATGACTGTTTACATCCAAAATATAGCAGTTGTTGGTCTGATTATCCCTATGACGATGTTGAATTATTGGAGTTTTTTACAAATTCAACTTTTAATGAAACTGAAACATTTTCCAAATGCCAATATGGATTAAATGGATTCGAAGAAAGTGAGTAGTTGTAGGTGAAAATAAAGAAATTTAATATTTTAGATTCCTAATTATCTTATTGAATAAAATAACAAGATGTGGAAATCACCAGTAGTTTACATTTTTATATGGGACGTTGTCATACGATACGACCAAAAATATCACTTAAACGAGCAAGTAAATCGACTGGCTATTCGATCATGTTGAAACATCATCTTACTAAGGAAGAAATTAAAACGGGCTTCTTTGAAAATCCGCCAGGTTGGCATTTATATATACATGATATGAGAGAAAATTTTACGGGTAAAAAATTAAAGTCATTTGTAAAAAAAAATTATTAATTAATTAATTTCTTATTTAGAGATAAATATGAAAGCTTCGGGACGTGTGGAATACGTATTTGCCGATATAAATGAGAATATCGAAATTAAATTACAGAGTCAGTATTTTTCAAATATTGAAACGAAACAAAATTATTGTAACCGAAAAGAGGGCTACAGTGATTTAAAGGTGAGATATGAAACGATTATAATAATTATAAATTCTAATATAATAATTGCTTAAAGTGTGGTGAAATTTGTATTTGGCATGAATTGGGTAGAAAATCAAATTGTTCGGGACCCTGGATGCCTGATGCTCATTGGCCTCACTGTTCGACTTACAAATCAATGATGAAACTTATAGGCGAATATGGAAAGTGAGAATTTCGAATTATGTTTTTGTTTACAAAATGAATTGCTTAAGAATGTCCTTTTTCCAGATTTTATAACAGCGATGATGATCGTGTCGACTGTAATTGTGCGCAACCCTGTGAATCGAGAATATTTTCCGCCTACATTCAAAATCGTAGAACTTTTGATTATGCCGAACCCAATACTCAAGTCTATATTTATTATACCACAAAATTAATATCCGTAAGGATTTATTGTAAATCACTATTTACTAAATATAAACAAATAATGTAAATTTCTATTTAGCAGATGATCGAAGAGCGACCAAGTTACGATACAACACAATTTATAGCCGATGTCGGTGGTTCTTTGGGTTTTCTTTTGGGTCTTTCTGTATTGGGTTTAATTGGCATTTTAGAACATGTACTTAATTTATGGTGGAGTTTAATTTAAAGATTTTTTGATATTAATTTGTATATATTTACAGATAACTCTCTTGTTATGCGGTGGGGTAATTAAGAAAATGCAGCATAAAAATGAAAAACATCTTAACGCCAATGAAGAATTGGATAAAGATTCGGAAACTACAGTTGATATCGCTACTATTTATAAAGCTAAATATTAAAAGAATATTACAATTATTAACATTATAATTGCAATGTATTTTATTAATATGATTAAATTTCCATAATATTACTGTTCAATAAATGTTAACTTTTGGAAAAATTGCATTTATCCCAAAACTAAATATCTTTAAAGATTATATTTGTTTTAATCCTTAGTACCTCAAGACTTCGTTCTTTCCCCTACTCTTTTTCTTATTTTCCTAAATGACCTTTTTTATTAAAATTCCAACCATATCTACTCTTTTGCCGATGAAAGCAATATCTATTCTTTTTCGTTCAATTATGGGCCAAACCCTGTGGAGATAGGGGCAATGAGGCATAACATGAAGGAATCGCTCAACCACAACTTTGTGTTACAGTATCTGAATAGACGCCAAAGTAGAAACGTTCACAAGTGTCCTGGTTGAATCGTTCGAGGACAGCTACCCTCTACGAGAGCGGAGATCTGCTCAGTAGAAACCTTGGGTAACAGAGGAGATACGGAACCTTGGGAAAACTCTTTAACCGGGCACGGCGTAAAAAGACCGCAGAATACTGGGATGAGTATCGTAGTAAACTTGGTGAATATAAGAAAATCGTTCGAAAAGCCAAACGTGACTCCTGGAAGCTTTTCTGTGAACAGGTAGAGAGCGTAAATGACGTATCGAAGATAATAAAATTCCTAACGCTATATTCTATATTTCCCCGGCACTTTTGCAGAGGGAGAGATCTCAAATATAAGCAGCCTGCTTATGTAAAGGGACGATCGGTAAAACGGCGTTGATTGAAGTTGTCCACTGGCGGTATATGTTGACATCGAAGGCGCCTTCAATAACGTACACACTGATAATCTTATCCAATCTTTAGACCAGTTTTATGTTGACCGAGTGCTTCGTAACTAGATCAACTATATGCTAAGGAACAGATGGATAAGCTGCGAGATGTACGATATCACCATCAGGAAAAGGGTATTTCGCAGTACACCACAGGGTGACATTTTGTCCCCTTTACTGTGGGTAACCACTATAAATAGTCTCCTAAGGACCCTAACCGAGAAAGGACTTAGAACTGTCTACTATGTAAACGATGTCGTAATACTTCTAAAAGCATCAAAGCCTATTACGGAACTACTCGACCGTGTACAGAAGAGAGCGTTCCTTTTTTAATAAATTTTCTAAACAAATCGTGAGACTGATTTGCATATAAACAACTCTAGTGGTCCGGGAATTCTGTGTAACGCTGACAATGTGCCTGAAAGTGTGCAACTAAAGAAAACTTCAATTCATCCACCGGACTTTAAATGAGGTGAAATTTAAGTTATAAACTTTGTCGCATATTTTATCAAAAAAATTGATATTTTGTGACGCCTTTAGATTCTTATTTAGGGTACAGATCAATGCTATGCGAATAATCCAGTAATAATCCAAACCATAAGGTTAATCCCGTCCGAGCCATTCGTGAGATATAATCAAAAAAAAAAATCCACTGGCTGTATTAATCCTACAAAGCCGATAAACTCAAAATACCTCAGCTCTGATTGTGCGGAACTTTGTTACGATATATCCAATTAAATTAATTACATTTTATTTATATTTATATTATTAATAAGTTATTTAATTTATTTTTAATTTTTCTTTAAAAATACGAATTAAACAGATACTTTATTTAGTTTACTACTGAGGTAATTTTTAACATTTAAATAAATCATTTTTTCAATAAATTTACAACAAATACTATACAAAAACTAGAATAAAATATATAATTAAAATAATATTATGGCCTTAATAACTAAATTTTATACATACAAATTTTAAAAAAAACTAAAACAATTATCAAGATCAAATTTCCAACAGGTTTATCACCTCAACAGCGACATTAGAGCAGCTGCCAAAACCACCAAGTTCGCCAACAACACCTGTGATCCAGCGGATGTTGATCTATTATTATTGTTGTTTCTATTGTTATTTGAGGCAGTATTTAAAATATCGCCCAACTTATTAATGATTTCCGGCAGAGGTTTGGTTTTAATATCACAAGCTGTATTTTCGATGGCATCCTTTACGTGAGCGGTCAAAATGCGGAAATTAACGGAATTGGGGAAAAGTTCACCATAGAGATATTCTTGCAAACGATTTGACAACACCCAAAGACGATCTTGATCATCGACTTTAATATCACTGGGGAAAACCATTTCAATGGGATTCATATAGACACGACCTTGGGACTTAATGGTGTAAGCGCGATTAGAAGTTTTCCAACAGGCAACGGCATTTAAATTGGGCAAAGCATAAAATAAAACTCCCGTTAATTGATCCAAAAATGAGGCACCCGCCTGGGCATTGGGTCCACGCGACCCTAATATTTTGAATTCTTTATAAATTTGACCCTCGGTGGCCAAAGTTTTATTGCGTAATATCATGGTGTTGACAGCAAATTCCATAGTCGAACTCAAAGGATGGAAATATAATGTGGAATAACCATCTTGCTGCATTTTACTTAAAGCCAAACCATAGAGACCATCATCCCATTGAAAATCACGACCACCAATACTATAATTTCCAGCCAAAGGATCGGGATGGAAGTAATTATGATGAACTCTCCAGGATTCTTCCTGTTTCCAGGAATAAACCACTAAACCGGGGCTGCCCAAATCTGCAGCATAGGCAAAAGTGTTATCACAATCACCATCTTCTATGGCTAAATTGGCATAAAATGAACTTTCTTTAACTTGATCTTCAGGGAATATATGACGTCTGAGTAGGTTGTCATTGTGCAAATCGTATATTAAAAGCTGAGCAGGTCCATAGAGCATTGTTTCCTCTAAAACACTGGAAATACGAGAATCTAACACCCATAAACGTCCACAACGATCGGCACGCATGCGGAAGGGTGACACCAATTCCGGACTCATTTCATTGAGGTTGTGTGCTTCCCAACTGGGGTAAGGTATTAGAGCGGGAGATTTTGTTGAAGTGTCTGTAAAGATAAATTTAATAGGAGATTATTATATATGTACATGATGAATAAAAAACTAGTCAAAGAAAAATACAATTTAGTGCTTAATGATCTCACCCAGTCTAAGAATAAGACTGGGTTAGATTTTAAGATCCTATTGGATCTTTCGGTTATGCTTATATAGTTTGAATATAGAGAGACTATAAATGGAATATTTTATTTTATTTAGACCTTTTAAAACGTAAAATCTAGTGGCATCTAAGATCTAAAATTAAGATTACGTGTCTTGGTCTTTTGAATTTGTAGGAATTTTACTCATATCTCAGCCACTTAACTGATAACCAATGACATAGGCAACTTATGAAAGGAAATGGACCATATTACAGTACAAAATGACAACAATACAACAATACAAAATGACCCCTTGCCCAACTTGTGGCTGCTGTCGAGCTAATGATAGTCAGGGAAGCATATATAACTGGATCGTCGAGGTCCCAGAATATGTATTATTTATACGATCTTTATAATCTTGATGTAGATACACACAGAACGATTTTATTATGGTTAAAAGTGGTTAAAAATATATTTAGTTTAGTTCAAAAAGTCACAAATATAGTTTATTTTAGGAAAGGGTCACAAAAAGTGCCAGGTAACACTGTTCAATTAACGGCAACGCTGTTGACAACATTCAACAAGTTAGGTTGGCAACGCTTTGTTTCAGAAATTAAAACACAATTATCGAAACAAAAACGCAATTTACAAAATTAAAAATACAATTTGTAAACAAATGCACATACCTACACTTTCAATATATTTCTGGAATGCGTAAAAATTGTAGTAAACAAAAACATTTTCCATACATTTTAGATAAACATGTTAATCTTTGAGAAGAAATAAACATTTTTATTTTTATTAAATATAGGAAATACAATTTTTTTTAATAAATTACACAGTCCAACGAAATCATGTTTTGTAACAACTTTTTAAACAAACTCAACTTTACATTATGTATTTAAAGGTGATAAAACCGAATCTGATACTCTATATCGCTCACCATTTTCTCAATATAGCATATACATATATATTGAGAATATAGCGATATAGCATCAATTAGATATCCCTTGAAAAAGAAATTATATAGAAAAAGGGCTGAATTATAATATGAGAAAGATAGAGTGAAGAGTAAATTTACCCTCCAAAGAAAAAGGGAAATCTCCGTTGTCCATTACCTGAATAACCAATATATTCCCCTAATGAAACCCAGAATGTCGCCTAATTCATATCTAGTCACATCTCCTAGTTCATCATGGAATCATTTTCCCAGCCATTTCAGTTCCATAATCTGTACTCTAGGACAGTTGCATAAAATATGCCCTACTGTTTCTAGCTCCACTTTATACGACCTACAAAAATCCTGCGTCTTACCTACCCAATTATCTACAAAGGCTCTAATTCTATTAGAGTCCTTATACATTTCCTGTACAATCCTAATAGTACTTTGGTTGCCTTTTCGTTTAACCAAGGTAGAGTATTTGAATATTTCAGAGATTAGTCTATAGTATGAACAGATGGGAGGTTTTACAGATCTCTTCCTACTATTAAGGTCCAGATGGGAGCCATGTCTAGCCAATTCTACTGCTATCTCGTTACAATATGGTGTCCCGGTACCCAACACATCCTTTCTGTGTTTATCCTAACTAACATTTCAAGGACTCTTTTGCAGATAGTTACTAAACTAGAATGTTAGCACTGCCAACTTTAAGAGCTGCCTGACTAGCAACATCAACTGTTACTTTATGTGTCTTTATAATACATATCTACGTTTTTCCAGACCGCCTGAAATACACTATATTCTTCGGGAAGTCTATAAGACAGTTTTATGTCGCTATCAACCAGATAAACTTGGGCCGCAGTGCCAGATTCCATCTTGGATCCATCAGTATAGACTCAAAAAAATAACTCGGAAAAAAATTATGGATATTTTATATAAATACTAGCTGTACCCAGTGTGCTTCGCTAGGATACTTCAAATTATATTTTTTATGTGTGTACATTAGGCTCTATTAATTCAT